AAGTTTAGCCCCAATGACATTATATGTGCAAGTATCTAGGCAAAATGTGTCGATTCAGCATTTTACTGCAGTTAAAACTTATGATAAAGACTCAAGCCAATACAATTTACATGACATTCTAGTTCGCACACAAAATAGGAAGCACGATTTTGACCATTCAGTTATGTGTGCTTGAACCGTTAATTTCATGGAACCGAGAGACAAACTCCCATCCACCTGTAGGATAGCTCATGCTCTTGTTTTGTATCCCACATTGTACAGTATCTTTGCACAGAGATCTTTGATCTGTTATGTTTCTGTTTGAAAAGTTGAAACATGATGGGGTTTTCTGTTCATATTCTAAGTTAAACCGATAATTTTAGCACCTTATAATTTTTACAAAGTTTTGGTCACATTCAACATCTATACCCTCCAATGACATGTCAAGTCATGGGAGCTGTAGTTGTTCAGTGCAGAAACATTAGTCTCTAGCCAAGCCAAATGGAATCCACTGAACTGCATGTTCCTGATTTTCAGTTGATATCTTATAACTTAAATGAAATAAAAGTTAAATAGTTCTTTATGTGCTACAAAAATAAATTGACTCGTAAGCTGAAGAAGCTCTTTGACTAACCCTTCCTTCTATCGAAATTGTTAGTATTAGTGTGTAAATATTTACATATTTTAAGATACTGAAATGTGCAATCTAATAAATATGTAGTATACTGCAAAGTTTTGACATGGACTGTAGTAAGATAAGATAAACCTTCATTGACTCCCAGCGGGGAGGTTCAGTTAAACTACAGAAATCAGTACAGATAAAGTATAGAAAGTAAGACAAATAATAACATTAATATAGGTATATAAAACTATAATAAGAAAAGAATATGAAAAAAACTGTACAAGAGCAATAATATATTTAGCAATGAGCTAAGGATTTCTTTTGACAGTATTTACATAGCAAATACTTAATTTGAACTACATCCTGGCAAAATGTGAAACAATAAACCCTACTGCAAAGCTTAGGTTGATGTGGCAGTACAGAGGAACATCTGGTCCTGTTTCTGCTTTATTGGCAGTGTGAGCAGTTGATTTATTAACACCTTTTCCCCACCTCCTCAGGTGCTTATGTAACAGCCTGAGACATGGGGCAGATATACGACATAGAGTGGTTTCTGGCGTTAAATGAAGCCTGTCTTCATTCTCAGAGTTGGAACTAGATTTCATCCTGAGCATCTTTAGTCAACAGATTCCTAGAATGTGTTCCAGGGACAAGCTGTTTATTTGACCAAGCCAGGAAATACGAGCCAAGTATGCCTGTCCATTAGTTGCCTCCATTAACTTTGGTTAATAAATAACTGTTCAACCAGCTGCTTTAACGCACACTTTCCGAATCTATTCACAAATTGAAGTGAAGCCATCAGGGATCCATTTGGGCCTTTCCGTGCTTTACACACTTGGTCTTATTTGATGTTCTCGGCCAGTGATTGCCACTTACGGGTACTTGGACCCCTGGAGGTACTTCTGCAGTTGCGTACACGGACAACTTACTACTAAACTAATTTAACAGAAGAAGAAATAATGATTTGACAAAAAATATATCTACATACATTATTTATGTTTAGGAGGAAATAAATGGTGTCATGGTGATCTAGTGTATTTACAATAACCAAGATACCAGCTATGATAGGCTAGTCAGTTGTAACACAATAACACCATGTGCTGAGATAAAGAGAGCGTGAGTTAATAAATGAGCAGAGACATAGTTACATAGTAGGCTAAAAGAAGTGGATAAAATGGTTGAAATGGTTAGTGAGGTAATGGTAAGTAATTAATAAAATCTATTATTAAAATATTAGCCAAAGGTAATCAGCAGTTAAATCAGTTAGCTAAACTAAAAGTAATAAATAAACTGTTGTCCATTCAAAGTAATGAATAAGTTAAAAATAATCATCTAGGTAATGAATAGACAGTTAAACTAGTTAGCTAAACTAAAAACAATAAACAGTTGAAATAGTTGGGTGTTCTTAGTTAATAGCTAAAAGGAATGAATAAACAAATAAAACTGTTATCTAAGAGTAATGAATAAATTGTTGAAATAGTTAGCTAAAAATACTCAGACAAAAAAAGTTTGGAACAACTGTTCTTTGCAGCACAAGAGGGTCAAACATCACGATTACTGCTGATAGGACACCTATGAGACGACTGTTGAACACAAAAGATTCAAGCTCAAAGTCTGCAGTTCAAGAACTCATTGGCTTTGAATCCATTCTGTCTGGTTTACAAGAGGCAGAGCTTTGTGAAGTTTTCTCTGCTGTAGGTTCAGTCAATGTGGGGTTACTGGGTTCATAGCAGGGGGGTTTCCAGCAAGGAGTCTTTAACAAAGCAGACAGACGACTTAGGGCAACTCTGCCTCGTCTGTCAGTGTCCAAGCGGGGCCCACGGCTAACGTTGGATGTCACTGGGACAGAGAGAATCCTGATATTACATTTTTCAATCTGGAATTCCTCTTTGTCTGAAGCGTAAATGCTTTTAAATCGAGAGAGCCAGCAGATGAAACCACAACAGCAATTTCCTGTTGTTCTCGAAGGATTTTTTGCCCTTCTTGTTCACTGCCATTTATTACATTATGTAGCTTAAAGCGGGCTGATATCCCCACAAATATGAGATCAGGCAGTGGACCCCATTGAATTTGGTGCATTTTTCTGACTGCAGTGTCTGGAATAGATCCTAAGAAGCTTTGACAGTGTGTTGGCTCACACAGGGGAACAAGAGTGGGGCAATCTCTGAATAAAATATGTTACAGTCAGACGGTCCACCGCTTTGGTCCAGACTGAAACATCTCAACAATTACTGGCTAGATTGCCATGAAATAATTATGTATCCTAATGAATTTGGTGATCCTCTGACTTTGTATCTAATGCTACCAGCAGGCCAGTTTTTTATTATCCAGTGAAATGTCCTTATCTTTGGCTCAAACTTTTGTGCACACATTCAAGGCATCCAGTAGATGAATCGTTATGACTTATGAGGTTGACATTTTTGGTTCTTAGTGAATCATCTCAACAATTATTGAATGGATGGCCATGAAAGGTGGACAAGATAGTGAACATGGTAAACATTTTCAACAAAACATCAGCATGTTAATATTTGGGCTATGTATTGGCAAAGATACAATTCACGATACAGGGGTTAAAAAATCGATAATGTGTTTTTTAGAATCGATACAATATCAGAAAACAAAACAGCACAATTTGATTTTCTTACACCCCTAGTTAATACTGTAATTGAGAGCATGTTACCATGACAACTACATTTTTAACATTCACTTTGCCAGGATTGCTAATACATAAAAACATTTTTTACCAACTTTTATCTATTTTCGTTTGTTTTTTTTAACAATTTAACAGTCACTACTGCACCCTGACAGAGCTACCTGCCTGCCTGTAGACAGTACTGTCTCAGTACAGGTATGATTAATCTTGTCAGGGTAGCAGGGTGTTTTCATTTTAAGCTTCCTTACTGCTTCATAACATCTATCTTATGGGGCAACCTAAGAGTGTATGATACTCTGACAGCATGGGGTGAGATGAAGATTCAGGGAGAACGAAGACACAGCAGTGAAACCAGTAATAACCCTGAAACTTGACACAGTGGTCTCCCGTAACGTGTAAAAAAAGAGACAGCAAAACACTCAACCTCCAGCTGCTCTACATTTTCCCACAGGTTTCTTCTGACTTTGCTTCAGGATTGAGAAAAACAACTCTGTCTATAGCTGTGTCACGTGCGCACGTTATTTATGAAACATTTCTAAATTGACATCTGTTGTTTCCAGTGTGTCAGCACATACCTGTCTGCCCATTTGTCTTAAAATAAATAAGAACAACTTGGGACAAGGCCTTAGAGATATAAATTCTCTGAGTGTGCCTATCTATTTCGTTTTAAATGTGCCCATTTCATTTAACATATATTAGAGTCTGCTGCAGCATGTGACAGTGGTATTTAACCTTAGGCTTGCAGAAGACTGCTGACCAAGCATTTCCTGCTGTTGTCCTTGTGGTCAGAGTTTTAGCTCCACTAACAGTTCTTAGCAGCAGATCTAACACACAATCAAAGATGAATCGCTTTGGTCATCATGAACATGTGAAATACTGTAGGAGAGGAATAAGAGACACACTTTGAACCCTAGTGCTATTTTTCTGCCTGAGAAAATATAATTGTAATCTTACTGTGGTTGGCCAGTGAGGCCAAGTAAAGTAGTACACCAGAGATACAATATTAAAGGGTCCCTCTATGTTGGTTAAACACTCAGGTCTGTCAAAATCTATAGCCGGTTTCAAAAACAGGCTTTTTTTTAACTTCAAAACTTCACAAAGCTCCTCCAGAGCCACAGAAGATATTATACTGTTTTGACAGGCTCAGAAGTTCTCTGTTTGACAGGTAGTGCCCCCTTAACCATGACACAACAGAGATTATTGTTGTATGCTACATAGACTACTGATGATGTCACTGGTTATATTAGAACATGTTACAGTATGTAAGAGGTTGATTATATCTCCATGGTGCCTTTGCACTTTTTGTTGAGATGCGAGAAGTGTTTTCCTGATCACTCAGTGTGTGTTCCTGTTGTCGCAGGTGTTAGACATTGTACGTTCAGTCTAGGAAAGGCAACCCGTAGCACTTACCAAACATATTGTCTTCAAGGTTACAAAGACAAATGGATGCAAATACAAACAATGTACCGTGTGATTTATGAACAAGTAGAAAAAAGGAAACTCTTGACTGGTTTCCTGAGCAAATTTTGCTGCAGTGACAGTGTGTGCATGGATACAAGAGCAACAGTATTGCGTCACCAGGCTTTCTGTTATAGTGAGCGTCTTCCTGGAGACAGTTTTGTTTGGTGTCTGACAGTTTTGTGTTTTGAATGTGAAATGATAATCACTCTGGCTTACAGCTTGTCGTGAGATTTTCTCATACATACATTGACTCACTCTTGCATTCTCTCTGTGTGTCTCCTGCAGCGTGGGTGGGCTCCCTCTCCATGGGGATGATCTTCTTCTGCTCTCCCATCGTCAGCGTCTTCACCGACGTCCTCGGCTGCAGAATTACTGCAGTGGGCGGTGCTGCTGTCGGCCTGGTCGGCCTCCTGGCCAGCTCCTTTGTCACGTAAGGAATAAAATCAGCTTTTCAATTAAAAATGACACCGTGTCACCACTACATACAGTATACATTAACACCTACAGGGTTATTGGGGTAGTGAGTAACTTCAGTCCTTAGTTAAAGGTCTATTGTGCAGGATTCACTGGCATCTAAATAAAAATGGCTCATTCTAGGGTAATGAAATCACAATGATTCTTATTTTCATGTGATTATACATTAATGAAAACATACCTATGTATATTCCATTTTTGCCAATAAATCCTCCTAAATGTTACACACTGGACCTTTAATAATATCAGGCAACAGATTTAGTTTACCCCTCAAAGTTTAGGTATATTGAATGAACCAAAACAGTAAAGTTGTGGGCCAAACAGCTAAATGAGCTGATAGTTCTGTGAAGCCAATGTGAGTGGAGATAATTCTCTGTAGGTTCATCGCTATGAAGAACATAAAAATATCGACCCACTATGAGCTCGAGCCAAGAATGAGCTTTTAATCTCTACAATCCACAACAAGGTGGCAAACTCCATCTGCAGAGGAAGATCATTTAATACAAGTTAAAGGTCCAGAACAGCTCTACAGCTCTTGTGGTGAGATTTACTTGTCAAACTATAATGGAATAGTAAGAAAAAAATAGGATCGTATAGGGGTTATAAAGGAGCAGTTATGGCTGTTGACAGATACATTAATAACCACACAAAAAGTCTCTATGCCTCTTTATGCCTACATTATGGTGTGTAATGTGTCACACACGTGTCATAATACATTTATTTATTTTTATATACTTATCATAGAAATAAAAAGGAATGTGTAGGTGTGAGTAAACTTTATGGGTGAGTTGAGTGGATCTCCTAGAACAAGGCCTACTTATTTTAACTTTTATCAAGGCTCTGTTGGTAAGAGGCTCTGTACTTCACACTCTGTTGTTAATAATTTCCTGGAATTCCATACTCGTCTACATGTGAGGTGGCACTCACACAAACGTACAGAAATGTATGATCCAAACAGAGCAGTAAGTGCTCAACCCTCTCTTTGTTATCACTTTAAAAGTGCAATAAATAGGTAATGAAACAATTACTGCTTATCAAGTAACAGCATTTCACAAACACAGCTTGCAAACTTAAAAACTTGCTGACAGCCGGGTTCTGTAGAAGACAGTGCAAGGTGCAAAATTTCTTAGTCATGTGATTTCACTGTTGGCAAGTTATTTTCTAAAGCAGATTTATTTACTCCAAAGAGGACTTTGCAACCACTTGGAAGCACAATCCTGTATGTCCATGTTTATTTGGACCTTCACCACTATTATTCTTTACCTTGTTAAATGTGCTGTTTGATGTATTTTGCCATGGTTGAAAGGCTTAGGGGACAAAACATTAAAGATATGTGTATTTCCATAGAGATCTGATATGGACTGATCTGATCTCTGTGTTTTTAAAGCTGTATTTATTCTCATTGAGATAAAGATGTCTTTTACAACAAATTAGGAGTAAATTAGTAAATCAATTCATAATTCAATATGTATATAAGGGACCTAATATTGATCCTTGACAGACACCTTTATCAACAATTGTTGCAGAAAGCAGAAAGATATGATTTGAAGCAGCTGTAAGCAGAATCATCAATACCCATACAAAGCAGCTTGTTTAACTAAATGTTATGACATGTGGTATCAAAAGCAGTTTGATTCTATGGTTATATACATCAAAGGGATCAAGAAAACCATGATCCTCTGCTGCTGGCAACTGAACAGCTATACTTGAGCTGTTGGTGGATAAGAACTATTCTCTACCTTTACCCCATATTTAATAATAATAATAATCAATTATTTGCAACAGCAATCAACAAGTTTATTTTTCCTGTTGAATAATTATTTATACAATCTTTTAATGTGCGGATAATAAAAAAGCAAAGAACAACCATAGTAAAACATGTTTTTACTTGCTTAATCCTGTTGTTGGAGTTGGTTAATTTCCTAGGGCCAAAAAATTGCACAATGAGCCATATATAAAAAGCTCACAGGCCTTTCTTTAGAGTGGTTTCACAACTTTTCCTACAGCCAGTGCCATGAGAACTTTTTAAGAGCCCTATTGCAAATCAAAAATAGCTGGCTCTTTACTGGAAGACATCTTGGGGATTCATTTTTGTCCTGGAAATTCCTTAATGTCAGCAGTGAGTGAATCAAAGGCTGTACAGTGATGTATCTTGTTGTATCTCCTCACAGGTCCCTGGGTCCCATGTACTTCACCTATGGCATTGTGTTCGCCTGCGGCTGCTCTTTCGCCTACCAGCCCAGCCTGGTCATCCTCGGTCACTACTTCAAGAAGCGCCTGGGCCTGGTAAACGGCATTGTGACCGCCGGCAGCAGCCTCTTCACCATCACCCTGCCCTTCGTGCTGTCGGGCCTGCTGGAGAAAGTGGGCCTCCAGAACACCATGCGCGTCCTCTGCATCCTTATGTTTGTGCTGATGCTGGCCGGCTTCACATACAAGCCCCTGCTGCCGGTCAAACCCTCAAACACCCGCACAGGCAGCCGGTGCCCACCTTTGAGCCGGATCTTTAACATCAATATCTGGAAGTCTTTGGGATATCGCATTTGGGCATTCGGTATCCCCGCAGCCCTCTATGGCTACTTTGTGCCTTATGTTCACCTGGTAAGTTGGTGTTTTCTACATACTTCTTCACTCTCTGAATCAAATTTGATTTCACCGAGCTTCACGTATACTCCGTCTGGTTTGTGTTGCTGGGTATCGTCGCCCCACGCTCTGGGCCATAGGTCAGCCTGATGAGGAATAGCAGCATGTAAATGCCAACAGAGGGATTCCATGGTGTGATTTCCCAGTATCCTAATCTCATGTTTTGAATGTGTGGGCACGAGGGAGGAATAAGGGCAAGAGGTCAGCTAGGGAGCTTCAACAACACAGATATCAAAACACATGCTAGCAATGTGAGGTTTATTCGTGTGAAGAGGAAGGGAGAGGGAGGGGAGTACGACAGCAAAAAGTGTTACCATGGGAAGGTTTATGACTTTTAAAGTGTACTTTAGTTTTTAGGAACATACAGTTTACAAGGTTGTCTCTGCCCATTAGGAAGGTCTATATAAGAATACCTCACAGATATACAGTATATATATTTTTTAAACAGTAATTCACAAAGACTAAAACTACTGTAATTGCTGAGACACTTTCTGTGACTCAGAACACACGGCTCTTTTCACAATTAAGTCTGCTGGTTGTTGCCTTTCTTTTAAATGCTCTTACACTGAAATTATACTTTTGTTTTGTTGGTTCTGTTAAAAAATCTAATTTCCAGAGAAATTATGTTGAACACAGTGTCAATAAAACGAATCTCGTAATTCTCATAATTCATGCGCACAAATGAACCAAAGCAGGAACATTATGTGAATTCTTGTTAGAGAATTGATATTGTCTTTATGAAGGATGTCAGCTGTACAGAGCTTCATTATTATGCTTCGTGTTTCTGGCGTGTTAATGAACAAACCCCTGGGCTGCCCTTTCACCTGATCCTTCTCTAAACTTTGCTGTTCTAGGCTCTTCCAAATGTTATCCCATTCAGATAGTAAAATGAAGCCTTTTACAAGGGTTGTAAAAAAAAATGTATCCACCAATTTGCAATTTGCTTTTTTCACAATGTAGCCTTATGGGGGAAAATACTTTTGGGGCCAGTTACTGTAATTACACAGTTTGACCACTATGTCAAATTGGTTTCAAAGCCTACTCTTCCTGGGGGCTTGGTGTTTGTGCCACAGTCTTCTTCTTCTTCGTTTGACACAATTATACGATTTGTTGTTTTCGTTTAGGCACGGTAGATTCTTGCAAACGCCATTAGGAGCACTAAGACGAGTCAGAGGAACGTGATACAATGTATTACCTGTTCCATCTACTACTGTGAGGATATAGTAATGGTTTGAGCAAATATGAAAAAAAGTGATTCTTATAAAAGTTACCCACTGCAGCATTAAAGGGCCAGTGTTGCAGTTTCAGTGCTGTGAGCACCACTAAATAAATTCCATTGAGCAAAATCGGAACAAATAAAACCAAAACCATGTGAATGGCTACTTACCACTAGAGGGAGGTAATTTTGTAATTTGGGTGAACTAGCCCGTTGATCTGTTGACATCTAAATGGAACAGCCAAAAGCGGAGACTCTCATGCTGAGTCTCACTGTTTATATACTAAAGCCTGCAGCTTTTAATGTGACTATCCCACAAACTGTACGTCACAGCAGCATGTGTCCACATGACATACTACAGCTGTGTGGTCCTGGTGAATGTAACCAAATATGAGCGGAAGATTCAATCTGCAGCTCTCATTTCAGTCAAGACACAGTTCTGTAAACAGGTTTTCATTTCCCCGAATCTCCCTTTATTTCGGCTACAAGATGGGAAAATATGATTTTGGAGAAAATCTCTTCTTGGGAGGGCTGGAGAGCAGAGACTGAATGTGTTGGAGAGACTCAAGGGGTGACTGTTTATTTGGACACGATGACCGTTATTGGAGGGATATCATCAGCCTGTCCCAGGGATCACAGCCTGTGTTTTCCCAACACTTCTCCTGTGTCTGCTACTCAGACTGGAACACCACAGGGGCCCGGCTGCAGCCTCAGCGCCAGCTGTGGCCCTATAGCCCCAGCACCCGTCCTTCCTAAGACACAGAACCTCCCTCCCTCCCTGCACTTCAGGCCACTGCAATGTGACGCTGCATAGGAAGAAGAAAAAGGAAAAAACATGGGTCAAACAGCATATTGTTCAGATTTTCAGGAAGGGAGTCCTATCTGCCCTTGAAACGACTCAACTTTTCTTTCTCTGTGCGCATGCTGATTCAGCCTTTTAGAGCCATGCTGCCACAGTACCGTGTGTGTTTTTTTCTCTTTCCAAATCAAGATGCACATATCTAATGCTGTAAAAGAGTAAAGTCCAGTGTAGGTTGTCTGCTGATTTGAGATAAGATTCTGGCCTTAAGGAATGGCAGTGTTTGCTCTGTAAGCTGACTGATTAAAGGTGTGGTAGTGTATTGTCAAGGGCAGAGTGGTAAAAGAATTTGCAATTAAAGTTTGATCTTATCAGCCAGACAATTAATGCATGTCATCCCATTGCTGAATTGGTGTTGCTAAATCATTGCCATTCGCAGCTTACAGAACAGTACTCTCTCTAGAAACCTGCATCTACTTTAAAAATAAGCTTGTTTCGGTGGCTTTAATGAGGAGCACCTGCAGGGCTGCGGTGTGTGGGCTGGAGTGGGGCTGGAGGTTTAATGACCATTAAACAGCCAAGAGGAGAGAGCAGAGAGAATGTGGTTTGTTGCACAGTGAGGCTCTGAAAGAAAGAAAATCATCCCAAAACACACTATAAGGCAGCTATTGTATATATTGTATAGGCAGTGTATTGCTGAGGTGCCATTTTGTTATTTAGTTTTCTTTATTCCTGTGTTTCACTGAATGTAGCATGTTAATTCAAACTAGATTTTTATAAGCGAAGGGTGTTACTGTTATTTTCATGGGGTTTCATGGGACCAGCCTTATATTTAATCAAACCTACTTCAAGGAGTTTTAACTGGTTATGAAACATTTTTAATTTAATATTGATTGCTTCTATATGACCTACATAAAGAAAAAATGCCATCAGCGATAAGACTACTATTTCTATGTAGTCATTCTTAATGCCTGTCAAATCATTGGGATTCCCCTTGAAATCAGTGAAACAAGGCGGTAGAAACACTACCACTTTTGTCCACAGTGGCGGCTAGAAAATCAACAATCAATCCTTTTAGGGGCTTTAATAGAAAGGATTCAGCTATCTAAACCGTAGAAACCAGGTTTTATAGTGTCCATCCCTGAGATCAGAATTCTTCCTCTTCCTTCTAAAATTGTAATTTTGCAGCCTCAATACACCACAATACATTGCAGCTACAATACATGTTGCTGTTTGTTTGAGAGGTTTTTCACTCTCTCTTACTATGGCATCGCTGTTACAATCAGTCATGCTGATTACAGAACGTTCAGGCATGTTCTGTATGTCAGATGCATAATGTGAAATGTAGGTAGAGCTAAAGAGCAGTTCAACTTGTCCTGCTCTGCATGCTTTGAATTCATGTGTGTGTTCTTGTGTGAGTGAGTGAGTGTAGGTTTACGATGTTCTCTGCCACAAGGCCACCTGCCAGCCTCTGAATTGCATCACATGAGAGTGAGCTTGTGTTCCTGAAAACGTGATCAAAGACACATACACAACCTCAAAAAGCAAACAGTCAAACTACATCCTGCTGCAATCTTTGGTGCTCAATCGATCAATTTAAATAGAATTTTCCTTTCCACAAATAGACATTTGTATAGAATTTTGGAATTTTGGCCGGTCACTGAGGGGATTGGTGGAAAATTGCATCAGACAGTGTGCAGTAGACTGGAGACACGCCTGATTGTTAGCTAGGGTTGATCAACTCATGTTTAAATGCCAAAGCTCCATGATAAACACTAACAGGATACAGCCTGCAACAGGAGTGAAGCAAGATCAGCAGTGCTGAATCTACAGGACCATTTAATCTGTTTTTCGCAACTGCAACAGGAGGCCTCGAATACATCACAGACATATGCAGTGTGTGAATGCGCCAGAGAGTTCAATAGGAAATGTCTTCTGAAACATCCAAGAGCGTTTACCCAGCTGGTCGCTATGACAGAGTGATTATAGATTGTGTGACGTCACAGCAGAGGGACTGTCTGTCTAATACATCTAGCAGACCTGACAGATCTTATCAAGGGCGGAAGTAGGTGTGTGGGGGTTTTCCTTGTCAGTTGTGTTATCTTGCTTCTTGGCTCCCTGATCCACTTGACCTGCTCATGGTGTACCGTGGCTGACTGATATAATCATCAATATATTGCACCACAGTGGATTCCTACAAATGGAAAACAATCTGTCTCCTTCTCAAGAGAATATACAAAGATAAACCAAAGCAATACATTTCACATCTGCACAAAGCTTTAGGAGAGCTGAGCAATAGTGAATGATATCTTCGAGTTCTTGACCATAAAACATCTTTTTATGGAGAATGAAACGAATAAACTGCTTTTAAAATCGGGGTATCAGTAACACAGCAGCCCCTTTGCATTACCGGAGTTAGATCAAAAGCCTAAAATATAGAAAATACAAAAAAATTCAAACATTCTTAATTCATTAGCACCCCTTATTATCATCTACTTGCTGCTTTATGCTCGAGCTGCAAGGATTTGTCGATTAATTGGTTAGTCGATCGAAAGACATTTAATTATTTTGTTAATCGATTAATCGCTGTGGTTCCTTTTTCAAGCAAAAATTTGTTGGTTCCAGCTTCTTAAATGTGAGGATTTCCTTTGTCATTTATGTATGTATATGTAGAGTCATTGGGTTTTGTACTATTTGAAGACGTCACTTTGTTAGTCACTTAAAAGACTTAACAATTGATTGATTAATCGTAAAAATGATCCTTAGTTGCAGCCCTACTTGATGGTATTGATAAGCTAAGAGGGAGTAATAAAAGTAACATGTGAACCTCTCAAACAAAACTCCAGCTGGGAGAATGCCAGTCACATCTGGCATGTCTTTGAAAACCTCCACCCTCGATTGTGTGTGTGTGTGTATCATCAGTTTTTCTGCTGATGCTTGTATGCATACACACACACTGAGCCTCCAGTTGTTATGCCTGCAGCACTGCCTCTTGGATGCAGGAATCCCCTCCGAGCATCACACTCCTAAACACAGAGAATAGTGTTGTGGCGTAATGACAAAGACAATAAGTCATCCAGAGGTCTTTGCAGATGGAAGTGGGATCTGCAGGGGGGTGGGGGGTGGAGGGGGATAGGGTGTGGGGGTTGAGGCAGCAGACAGGCAGAGCCTTTGAGCAGGACCGCTGCAATCTGCCTGGAGGTAGAAGTAGCTGGCAGGGCTCCAATCTGTTTGGAAAACTGTGAACTTAATGGAAGTTGGCCTAAAAACCTCATATACAATTACAACTAGATTTCTGCAGAAAGTATGCAGAACACTGAGCAATCCATGAAAGTGTCACATTCTCAACATGGAAAAAGGATGTCCCCCTCTTTTCATTGATTTAAATAGACTGAATAATCAAACATCAAATTCCTAGTATGTGAAAACCTACTTGGCAATAAACCGAATTCGGATTCAGATTCTGATTAAAAGCATTTCACAAACACACAAACCTTTGATGTTGGTAATTTATGCCCTTAATAGAAATCAGTACAGTATAAGCACTATGGAATCTGATTAGATAGCATGTCTGACAAAATTCATATTGAACCCTAGGAACAGAGCTTTATACATTAGACAAGCCACTGTACTGTATACACTGGATTAAATATGGAGACTTATGACCACCCTGCTGCCACTACCCTTACTATCCAATGTGCTGAGAGATTTACCATGTTTTGCTGAGTTCGAAGTGAACAGTCATGACACCAGATCACAGGATAGGTTAGTTTAAAAAATGTGTCATACCAGCTCTAAACTGGGGTAGACTGGTACTTCTGGTACTATGAACCGCACACTCTTTGTACACATTCTTGTTGTGATGTTGTATATATATATATTTATATATAATTTGTTTTTAGTCAGTCTTTAATGAATAACATCTAACACTGCAGTTGTATTTGCTGTACCTATTTAAAATTTCTATTTATTGGATTAGAGCTGTGTTCATGTGTCCTTTTTTGTCCGCAGATGAAGCATGTGGAGGAGCGTTTTGGAGTTGATGCCAATAAAGAAGTTCTGCTCATGTGTATCGGCATCACATCCTGCGTGGGCCGTCTCATCTTTGGCCAGGTGGCAGACTATGTCAATGGAGTCAACAAAGTCTACCTGCAGGTGAGTGCCGGGTCTCTAAACAATCAGGTGATGTGGTTGTCACCTCTGTCCTTTCTAACAGTAGTTGACCATGCTTTTGAAGGCTTATTATATTATTATATACTATTTATAATAATATATTATAATTTATAATAAAGCTGTAACTGAAATTAAACTGTATTGTTCATGTCTGCTGCACCATACATATCTGCTCTGTAAGTCACTTTTCCCATGTCCTCCTCTGAGATAACAAAAGGGGGGAGTTTTTATATTATATTCTTTGGTTTCATGATGATGCTCCCTAGTTTAATTTAATGACATTAGAGCTGCAACTAACAATTATTTTCATTATCACTTAATCTGTTCTCCATTAATCACTTCAAAATCATATAATCTATAAAATGGTGCAAAAAATGGCATTAAATGTTGATCAGTTTCCCAAGGCCCAAGGTGACATCCTCAAATATCTTGTTATACTCAGTTTACTGTCATAAAGGACTAAATAAAATAGAAAATATTCACATTTGAGAGGCTCACATCAGAGAATTTGGACATTCTAGCTTTAAAAATAGACTCAAAATGATTCATCGGTTATCAAAATAGTTAGTCATAATTAAACAGTTTACAAATAATCGGTCAATCGACTAATCGTTGCAGTTCTGGACAACATGCCGTGAGGCATCCATCTACATAGAGACCTTATTTTGCATAAAGCAGTAACATCAATGTACTATCAAGAGTAGAGCAGACGGTCACACTGAGCCAGACAACACATCAAGAGCTACAGACTTTGAACAACAACACACTAACACATTAGCTTAACAAGTCTCCTTGTTATCTGTCTTACAAACATGAACACACGTCTTGTTCTGAGCCTTCACTTGTTAAACGAGCCCCCAAACAAACATTCACCGGCGAGAAGTGTACGACTAATGTCAGTTCAGTTGCTAGATAGCTAATTAGCAGCGCCACTGCAGCACATTAAACAGCATGCAAACATACCTGCAAATGTCACCTGGGTTCCATTAGATCCTGGTGTCCCTGTGGTCCTTCTTCAATACCACTAACAAGAGAATACAGAATATCGTTATTGTCATTGCACAAAGTTTGCAGCTATAAGAGCAATATACATTTAAAAAATAAAGCAATAAATAAGATAGCAGTAAAGTAGCAATAAAGTGAGAGTATGAACAGTGCAAACACTCTCTGGCAGTAAAAGATAGTTCGTAGATGAAAACTCTGTGAAACTGCATTTAGATGATCATGTGATACTTTACTGAAACCTAAACTAGCTTGAACTTGAAAGGAAACTGTACCTGTTCAGGAAACTGAAGAAGATTAAAAATGACTACATGAAGATTATCAGACCATCAAATGAAGAGTTTTCATGTAGATACTCTCCTCTCTGTTGTCCCTCTAGGTAACTTCCTTCTTCGTTATCGGCCTCATGTCCATGATGATCCCTCTGTGCCACGTCTTTGGCGGGCTGATCGCCGTATGCCTGCTGATGGGGCTGTTCGACGGCTGTTTCATCTGCATCATGGCCCCCATTGCCTTTGAGCTCGTTGGGGCAGATGACGTGTCCCAGGCTATCGGCTTCCTGCTGGGCCTGATGTCCGTGCCCATGACTGTGGGACCCCCCATCGCAGGTAATACAGGAGTGTTTAAATTTGAGTAAAGCATGGTGGTTTAGTACATTTATAAACTTATCGAGCAAGACGCTAGCTCCTGTTTGCTGTCCTGTAGCTGACCCTGACCTCTGACCTCTCTGTGGAGGCAAAACAGATGAAAGAAGCTTTGCCTATACTTAACTTTCTTTAGAATTTTTTAATAATTCAGAACACCTTTGCCAGGCCCCATCACATCTACATCACAGTTGTTGAAAAGACGAAAATGTATATGTAGCTCTCTATAGTGAGTGAGGGAGAAAGCAACCCAGCTGTCATTTTCATTGTTCATCACATATCTGTCTGTGTAAAGTCTGTCTTTGCATAATTATCGTGAATCTCTTTAATAATTTACTGCATCTGTTGTTTTTAACCATTTTCTATAAATTACTTTTAACGCTGCAGCAATAAATATTTCATTTTACTTTCTTTTTTCTTTACCTTCTTCTTTATCATTCACAACTATTTCTTCTATTAGATTTCACAAATAAAATGACAAATTGTATTATTATACTGAAGATGCAATTTTAAAAAGGGAACATGGGATTTGACCTCTGATCCTCTAAACAGGCTGTCTGTCTGTCTGACTGTCAGACAAAAAGCATTCCTGCAGCATTCTAGTAAAGCTCTTAATCCTTAGATAAAGAAGAAAAGTCATCTTTAGACCTGTTGGTCTTTTGCACCACCTAGTGTTCCTTTTGGCACCTTGTAGTTGCCAAATGTGTAGGGTGCAGATTAGAAGCACATACTGTATGCTAACAGTTGTGTCCATATTCCATGGGAAATACATGACCTCTTCAACACTGCATTGTCTACATTTTCCCAGGATGGAAATCAGTTCATATGAGTGTCACATGCAGAGGGCTTGAACCGTCTGAAAGACAAGGAATTAATTTATAAAGATACAGCATATGTGACTATTTGTTCAACTCTTTTGACTTCCCCCCTCCAGAAAGGTCACAGGTCAGGTTCAGCTACACGTACAGAGTCAGAGTTGTTCAATGAAATTCCATTAAAGTGAATGCTTGCAGATACAGGGCTTGAACTTCCCTTTTGCTCAGTAGTTCTCAAACTGTGGGGCAGACCCCCTGGTGGGGCATAGGGCCACTGCAGGGGGGGCGTGGATGACCAGGGGTGAAATAAGGTGTGAAACTAAGTTGAAGGAATATAATTATGTAGGTAAAACAAGCAAACAACTAAGACAGAGTATTAGGGCCAAACTAAGAAAAAAAAAAAATAATGTAAATTACGAGAATAAAGTCGTAATAATACGAGAATAATGTAATCGTTTTAATGAGAAAAAAGCTTCGATAGAGTTATCAAGATCTGACTGACCAGCTCACTTAAACAGCAGGCCCATCCTAGCCCAGCAGCCGCTGTTGCTCATTGTACCGTACAGTCAACAGGTAAGATAAAAGGTATTCATAATTCTTGGTTAAACATTTTGCTGCGAGCCAACAGGCTGACATTCTCATAAAATTACTACTTTATTCTCGTAATGTTACGACTTTATTCTCGTAATATTATGACTTTATTCTCGTAGACCTAATATTATGACTTTATTTTCGTAATATATGACTTTATTCTCGTAATTTCCAAAAACGTTATAAAAAGCATTCCTTAAGTCTTAAGTCTCTGTCGTGCCCATGTGCACATGTAGTGAGAAATCCAGCTGGGGAAATCAGGTTCCTCTATTATAGGAACTGGGTCTCTTATTTGACATCATGTTTAAGACAGCAGGTTATTTTCAGCATTCTGCAGGTTACTTCAGTGCATGTAAAAGCTTAATATGAGAGCTGTAAACACAGACATGAACATGAGAGTGGAGACCCCTGCTGTCAGCTCATACAACAAAAACTAGACAATAACTAAATAAAAACTAATTTATGATGACAAAATCCTTTTTTCAACTAATAAAAACTAAGATACATTTTAGGGAGGGATGAGTTGGTAAGAGATCCAGTCAGAACTTAACTCTTTTGGTCCCTCGGGTATGATTTCACCACAGGTTTTCAAAAAAATTTAAATGCAATACAGTGTTTTGTTTTTTCATTTTTGAGTGACCCTCACAGGCACCAGTAAGGTGTTGACCTGTGACCTTAATGTGTCATACAGCAGCTGTTTTCTCCTGGTGTTGCAAAAAGGAGGGTTTGCCTTTGTCTGCCCTTTTTCTGAGCCCAGCCGGAATCATAATAACATTCCTTATTTCTTCCTCTCCCTGTCTCCTCTGGTTACAGGCTTCCTGAGGGACAGACTGGGCAGCTACGATGTAGCCTTCTACCTGGCAGGCATCCCCCCGATCATCGGAGGAGCTGTGCTGTGTCTGATACCGTGGGTGGAGGCCAGGCGCAGAAGGAGGGAGAAAGAGGAGGCCCTGAACCGGGACCAGGAAGTCAGCCAGAAGATGATAGAGCATGAGAAGGCTCAGGAAGACGCACAATGCAAAACTGGAGAGTCTGTCCTCTAAGAGCCCCGCTGAAACAGACTGAAAGAGAAACACATGGGGTCAGACTGAGACTGCTGAGATACACTATCTGTGTTTTTAGCCAAGATTATAAAAGACTGCCTTCTGTGGGAGAATGTCGGAAAATGCCAAAGCGATGAAACATATCAGAAAGAGACGTGAATGTGATCCTGAAGAACTATGCATTAGATTGTTCAATTAGAGAAAACTTGAAGTTTCAAATGAAAATGGAGAAAGCTGCACATTTAGTATTTGTCACAAGGGAACGAAGGCATGCTGTGTTTACTACAAACGCAGTGTGAAAGCTGCTTATTCAGTCTTTAGCCAGTGTCTCCACCAAAACCAACACTTTCAGATGGCATTCTTAAGGGAAAGGTGGACTTATTCTTTACAATCCGTCTTCAACACTACCATATGTTTTTAGATGTAGGAATATGGCATAAAAAGAACATATTGGATTATAGAAGAAATGTTTGTGAATTTAACTTGATTTAGCCTCAGTCAGTATCTCTGTTTTGTGTAAGAGCAAACCCAACCGGTCTGCTAAAGATTTCTCCTTAAACCTGCCATCTTTATTGTCTTCAGCGTCCCCTTAGACAGGGGTCTTAGAGCATACCAAAATTGTAAATACTGGGGGTAATCTGTTGATAGTAATCTAAAGAGAGAGATTTAGTGTTAGTCATGAAGCTCTGGGATCAGCTGTAAAGGTGCCCAGACACTTCAAGGGAAGCAGCTTTAAAAGCACAATGATTTTACATTCAGACATGCAGCTCGGTCCCCCCAGGCTGGATCCAGGAAGTCTGATCTTTTGTACAACTGACTCTACCCAAGGTTGGATTACCAACCTGGCAAGGCAGGACCACAGACCCCAATCCAGGTTTACCATGTTGCATTAAGCTTGTGGTTATACTGTATGCACCACTAAAGCACAGAATGAACTGAAGTGATAGGGACCTTAGGGATTACTGGGGTCCCATTGTGTGTAGGGGATCCGAGGTGAAATCAACATTTAAGGCATTTATTATTGAAGTTTATATTGTGCTTACTGGTGTATATTCCTAAAAAAGTGCTTAATTAAATGACCACAAACTAATTATTAAGTAGTACAAAAAAAATATTCATGCAGAGAGGTTGTTTGTATATTGAACCGTGTGTCTGAAAAATCTCGACAGGGTTCACGTGGCAACGTTATTATTACATTAATAACTTTAAAGGAATAGTTTGACTTTCTAGGACATACGCTTATTCTCAATTAGACAATCGACCCCACTCTCATATCTGCCCCTTAAATGTATAGCTACTACTCACAGCCAGTTAGCTTAGCACCAAGAGTGGAAACTACTAGGCTAGTCTTGTAAGCATGTTTCCCAAAATGTCAAATTATTCCTCTAAACTCTTAGCCAGCACAAGTACAACCTAAATATTAATTCATAAGGAACATATTAACATTGTGTTTGTGTACATGTCTATTAATTGACTATAGTATTGACATTAAGCAGTATTTCTTTTAAAACAACCAGTGGCGACACTTGTTTTTTAAAAGTTGATATTTAATTTGGTCCAGTATTTTGCGTATATACTTTGATTGTGCGACATTAAGTTACTATGTCGGGCCTCTGGTTAAAGTGGAAAAAAGCTCATATGCTTCCTAGTATGGAAGTAGTAGAGTAGCTGACGCGGTCCGGGTCATACAACAGTCACTGTGTCAGCAACTAGAAATGGGACGATATTATTGCGTATAATTGTGAATATTTGATTGATTGATTTATTTTGAATTACCACAAGGGGGAGCTCACATCTTTCGGCAATTATAAGGCTCGGCTTCCCGGATGTGTGGAAATAGAAGAAGAAGAAGGACTGGGAGATGAGGTTTCTTATTTGTGATGCGATATAAGATAGAGTAATTCCAGTATGTTTTAGTGCCATTTAAAAACTACATTTTGATGATTTTCGGGATAATATCAGGAATTATTTTGCCCAGAATTATTGTGACATTTTCATATCGTCCCATGCCTATCAACAACCTGCTTGGATGAATGATCTCTTAAAAGGACCAAAAAATGAATAAAATACTGGTGCATATGTAGTTCTTCACCACACACATTTACCTACAGTATCTAGTCTCTGCTATTTGAAATAGAACTGAGGACACGAGTTTGACTGATCATTGACTATGTGACCGTTAGTCGAGTTTAGTCAGGCTAATAATTAACTGTGTACCCAGTTTACTGACCTTCAGTAGAAAGGTGTTTGTTTTATGTTTTCATATTGTATTTATTTTGTTGTTTTTGTGGAGAATGTCATGCTGTAATTGACGGGCGTTTGCCCAGATCCTCGATTTCATTTACTGACGACCAAAATGTGCTGAAATGAAAAATGGCTGAAAGTGAATTCACCCTGATTTCTTGCTGTCATATACGTCTCCCTGAAGCCTACAGGTAGTGTCAGCAAACCATCTGTTAGGAAGTGACCCATCAGTCCGTCACTGTTGGAAAACTCAGAGACCTTTTGGATACAACATTGAGTTCCTGTGGGTTGATGATGTTTCCTCTGCAGACCTGTGACACTGTCTACCTCAGATGTTGTAAAAGCGTAGAGCTCTTCCCATCCCTGGTCCTCCTGAGAGCAGTGTGACTGCAGGAAATAAAATGATCTAGCTGTCCAAGCTTTGTTCTTTAATGAAGTGCTTGCTGCTCGCAACCAGAAATGCCTTTTTTTTTAATGAAACGTTGACGGCGTTTACAACTCTTTTCCTTGCGGAATATATATTTTTTAAAGACGTGCATGGCTGTTTATAGCAGTTTATTTCAAGACTGTTTTTATCTTTCCCGTTGTAGTGCTAGTAACCAATGACAGCCTGAGGAATTTCATGCCAAAGAAATGAATTTGTACCTCTGAATTCTGATTGTAAACCTCTTTGCCATACACACATTTACATGTTTTGTTATGCTTAATAATCATTTTTATTTACTAATGTATATCATACTGCTTCTTAGAATGTAGCATCTGTGGCATCCAAAGACACATTTTGAAAAAGTAAAACAAATTGCATGATTTATTTCTTTTCAGTAATGACTTTAGACCAAATCTTTGACACAAATTGTCTTATTAAATAGCTTTTTCCTATTTCTGTCTTGATAGTGTCTACAGCTGCTGGCAAACAGGAGTTTTATTGCATTTTATTTCTAATTTGCTGTTATTATTTTGGCTTGCCCTCATCTAATCCAACTGGCTTTATCAGAATATCCATATGTTTGCATTTTGTTTTCGCTGCAAGTACAGATAAAGATTTACTTTGTTAAAGCTTTGCATCTTTGCTACTTTCATCCCTTTTTTACATAATTTATGTCTTAATTTCTCTTCACTTGTTGCTTAGTTTTGTTTGTATATTCAAGTTACCCAAAATGTTTTCTACTAAAATATTACTTCTCCTGTGTGCTGCAGGATGTGTGGTGAACTACAGTATATGCTATGTAATATTATGTAAACACAATCAGATTTCAATATTTTCAAGACAGTAAAAAAAGAAAGATGTTAAAATTTTCTGTGACTTTCTCCTAATTTATCTTTCCGTGTCTGTCATCACTGAGCTCCGTCCTTTCATTTATTTGACGCACGAGCTCTCAGCAACATACGAGATATTTCACAACCAAACGTGAAATATTTCGCTGCCATTTTGTCCCAGTCTCTCACCAAGGTTGCCTGTACTTCTGAAAGAAGCAGGATTTATCAGCAGTCTGGAAGGAAGTGCTGTCTGGGGTGCTTCATTTGGGGAACAAATATTATCAGTATGTGGCAGGCCAAGAAGTAATGAATGTCCTATATATGGATATCCATGGTTCCTTGAATGGGGCATCTACAGGGTTGCCATTAAGTATAATATGCTTGACTATAAAATACAGTTCCTGCAGAAAAGCTCAAATGTAAAACTGGCAGAAGCAAACTGCACTACCTAAAGCAGTGGTTCCCAACCTAGGGGCCAGGACCCCCACTAAGGGTCATCAAAGCTTCACTTTAAGGCATGTAGGAAAACAGGTCTATATCTCATTGTGCTGCAATAAAAAGTATGCAGTTATAACAAGCAAAGAGCTAATAGAAGATATGAAGGAGAGAACAAAACAATGACTTTAGCAAAAAAGAAGCCAAAGAAGTCTGTATGATTGTTAAAACATGTTAAAATACATAATATAGACATAACTGTATAAAAAGTTCCTAAAATATCAGGAAAACTGATCTCTGATGTAATATTCACAAGAAATAATCTGTTAAAATTCATCAAATCAATAATTTAACACAAACTTCCTGCAGTTATGGTGTTAAATGTTTAAAGTTTATCAGCTGTTCTCTACTGTTACTGTTATGCATTGAAAATAATATAAAATATAAATAAAATATGTAATTTAGTCAGGGGTCATCAGTTAAGTCAATGATAGAAAATGGCTCATTAAAGAAAAAGGGTTGGGAACCGCTGAACTAAAGGAGGTAAGAGCTGAAATACAAGCTAAACAGGCTGAAAGATGAAATGTGTTGTATTAATATCACAAAGATGAACTGCATTGCAACTTTGAACAAAAGAGCTGAAATGTATTTCCTGAAAAGAAGAACAGCATTGCATTGGAAAGGCTTAAAGACAAAAACCCATTGATTACAAGCATGTTTCCAAAAATGAGATGATTGTTGAATAAAAGAAGAGAACAGAGGAAGTACAGGAACTGTCAGCCATGGAAACGTCGTTGGTTTGTATTTTTGCATAGGAAGCTTACTGAAAGGTACTTTCAGCTGCCAATTTGAGGGAAGATGAGAGGGAAAAAAAGGAAAAGTAAATAAAAAATGTAATAAAATAATTATTATTATGTGTGATTTATATAACATGATTCAGAATAATATATAACCTATTGAAATCTTATTTGCCAGGCCCATCTTTCTAATGGCCTGCCAGTCAAAACATCAGCCCTCTCATAACTGTCAGTGTGTGACTCAGTAACGGTCTGTGGCCGCCACAGTGCGGCTCTGCTGCTCACATTTAGCTAGATAGACAGCTTGCTAGCAGCAGATCTAATGGAATGATTTAAGATTTTAAATTCAGTGCAAATAAGTAATACTTATTGCATTAATAAAGTAAGGAAATATATTCAGATGTGGTTTGTTTTATTTGCTGTATTGCCAATCTTTAGCTAATGCTATGTGGGGCCTTAGCATGGAAACGTTTGGGAACCCCTGGTGTAGTAATAAAATCTCTTAAGGAGTTGAGGTGTCATCTGAAGTAAGATATAAAAGGATGTGAAGTATGAGCTGAGGAGAAGATGTTTATGGACATTATTTATTTTAAGCTGAATTAAAAATGTTCAATTATTTCAAATTAAAGTTTTGATATTTAATAATGTCACTTCACAGTGGTAGCCAGAAGGTTAGAGATGCAAGCTTGTGACTGGATACATCTGTGTGGGGAAAGTGAAGGAGCAGAGCTTGCCCCTCCCTCATTACCACCACCGAGGTGCCCTTGAGCAAGGCCGTTACCCCAACTGCTCAGTGGCCAGCAGATCAGACTGTGGTTGCATTGGACAGATCCAGGTATGAATGTGTAACAGTGACAATGTGATCACAGTGCTCCTGCAAAAGAGAGGCTTCTTCCCAAGGAACCTCCCCTGAATAATAAAAAAAAAGAGTAAAAGGTAGCAGAATTAAAATACAAGTACCGTAAATGCAGTGAAGGCTAAATTGTTATTGTAATTGTCAAATTGTCAGATTTTCGTACAGATTTATAAAAAATACTTGCAGTCAGTCATTGAGAGAAAAGACTCAAGAAAAAAGAAAAAGGGAGAAAGTACTTTTACTCAAATACTGTATAATAAGTATTTCCTTTTATGCTACTTTATCACTGAAGTATACTAAATTTCAGAGGGAAATATTTTACTATTTATTTTCACAATTTCTATTATTTCTCACTTATTAATACTCATTTCTTATATTTAGACATATATGATAGACATGATATAATAATAATCCACTATAATGTTCCACTACTAACGTAAAGTTGTGAATCTAGTACTTGTAATGGACTATTTTTTATTTAATTTGTCATTTCCATTAGCAAGCAGGTTTTTTTAATAAGTACTTGATATATATACATAATTCAAATATATATGTAGTTATTCCACATCCTGACCTCATATCATCACGATGACATAAGCATTTGTTGTTTTGTTTACCAAAAATGAAATCCTTTAAATGAGGACAGATAGATCCTCTACTTGTGACGCAGATGAGATGTTTGAGTTCAGACCCCCCGTCCTCGTGATATACTGACAATGGTTGTGAGCCTTCTGCACCACTGTTCTCCTAACACTGGAGGCCGCCATTTCCTCTCAATGCTAACCTGGTGACTGCTACTTCCGGTAGTCCTGGACGCGTCAGCTGATTCAGAGAGTAAAAAAGAATGACGAGGTCTCACTCTGCTCTGAGTTCAGGGTACTAAAGACCTATATATATAAGAAGTGAGCGTGTCCCCTGTGTCATTAATGGTGGGTTTACAGCACTGGGACATTACAAGCTTAAATATGTATGAAAGTTATCTGTATAATACATTATATTATCAAGTGTCCTGCACTTTGTTCTGATTGCAACCATCACGTGAAACCTTAATATAAAGTAATCTATTACTTCTGTATTTGACGACCTGGGAATGTGAACGTGTGTAAATTAAAAATAAATAAAATGGACAATGGAGATTAACAATTAGATATTTTTAATAGTAAAACGTCTGTTATTAGGAGCAGTGCTGAAAAAAATGAGATTTAAGAATTAAGTTTAAAATTACAATATGCAAATACATTTTTTATTTCATTGTGTCGGGCCAGAGCCATTAAGATATCATTATTATATATATTATTATATATTATTATTATTATTATTATTATTAATTATTAATTATTATATTGTATTTTAATGGCCTTGGTCAGGCCTAGTGGTTAAGATCTCACAATGCTGATGAGATACAGGAAATACTAAACAAAAGCTCTGTAACTACATCCACATAGATCTGCGGTAGATAGAAAAGAAACAGCCCAACAAACAAAGAGCAAGTAAAGCCTGCTGCAGTGAATGTATGACTGATTCATTCATAAATATACATTAATATTCACATGATTCTGCCAACCTTGAGGAAAGAGATATGGGAAGGTCGGCCGCTTTTTAGACACCGTGTGAACCTCATCGTGAATAGACGATCTTCGCAAACGTCCAGCAGCAGCCATACATTCGCTGTTGGCATATGGAGGGATTCCGCGGCTGCAGCAGAGGTTCCCCGCTGTCCCTCTCTCAACCAACCGCTGTGTGGATGATGACTGACTTCGTTTGATCGATTTAACCCGAGAAACCTTCAAACAGGAAGCGCGGACGCGGCAAGAAGCCAACAGAAACAGCAGCAGTTGACGGTCGCTGTTTGCTCCCCTGTCATAGTGACAGCTCCACAGCACCGGCTGCAGTCGTAACGTTAGTAATCGACTGACAGGTATGTCTTCGTCCGCCGCACGAGACACCGTCGTTAAAAAGAAGCACGTTCGTTTCGCCAGCATGGAGGACGACGACGACAACGACGACCAGGAGGAGGACACCTTGTTTGACAAGAGGAAGGACACCGGCAGAGGGCTGAAGAGTGCGCTGAAGGCGGTGAAGAGGACGAGAGCGGGATGCGGCGACCGAGTGGAAGTGGTCGGCGGAGGAAGGGGCGCATATGGAACGTGCAGGCGCTGGATGGTCACCCTCGCGCTCTGTGCATCCTTCCTGGGCTTGGTAACGTTACCGTTAAATGTGGACGGTACCGACAAACTGTGTGCTCATTTCTACTAATGTAACATGGAAATGCTTCTGTGAGCTTCTCCAGGCCTTCTCCTCATTACCTTCAATTTGTGTGGGGTTTAATGACAACAATAATGTCTTATGACAACCATAGAGCTACAGAAGTAGCTAGTTAGTTAGTTAGTTAGTTACTAACTTAGTAGTTAGTACATTTATTTAGCTAACGTTAGGTAGCTAAGGTTATTGTAATGTTATCAGGTAGCTAGCATAACAAACACCTGTTCTCACTCGTGAACTAACTAGTTTATCATTTGGGAAAATGAGGAAAGCAAGCAGAAAATTACAAGATATTGTCATAAACACTACAGTGGAAATTATTCATTTAATTTTAAATTAACTGCAGACATTTTTGACTCTGTCTTTACTCTGAATATACAGTTTAATTTGATTAGCACTCTTCCTGTAGAGACCACAACTTTTAGGTTATTTCTGTTGGGCCCATTTGAGCAGCATTATGACCCATGTGGATTATAGAGCTGCAACGATTACTTGATTAAGCGATTCATTGTCAACTATTAAACTAATCGCCATCTATTTTGATAGTTGATGAATCATTATGAGTCATTTTGTAAGAAGAAAATAGCCAAATTCTCTTATTCCAGCCTCTTTAATGTAATAATCATCCTCTATGACAGTAAACTGAATATCTTTGAGTTCTGGACAAAACCAGACATTTGAGGACATGCCTTGGGCTTTGATATACACCAATCAACATTTTTTCGGACATTGTATGGACCAAAAAACTAATGGATTAAAAAAATGCAGGTTTATCAGTTATGAAAACAGTTGCTAGTTGCAGCCCTAGGGGATTACCGCTGTCCACTGTGACACTAGCTTTAGAACAGTACAATGACCAAAGATATAAATGCAAAAGCTGCTCAGTGATACCTTTTTCTAAATGAGGTTACTACTCCCAAAGAGTCAAGCTCTCAGTCAACAATAGGCCAGCTGTAGTTTGCAGGCAGTCAGATATCCAGTGAACAGTAGTATCCTGCACGGACAGGATTTACATAGTTGTTAAACTTGCTCTTCAACCACGTTATCCGCATCAGATTACTGAAATCCATCAGCATACACTTCTGAAACGTTAACGTTCCTCCATTGGAACTGAGGAAACTGAAACACACACAGGCTTTGTTATTGCAGCAACAGCCAGGTTCACTTTCACTCAGTGAGAGATTCACCCTAGAACGCTTTCTCATTATTATAGGCAGGGCCATTGTTTCTGCAGTATAAAACAACAGTAAAAGATATAGAACGATTTCCAACATGCAAAACAAGCAGTCACACCCAGTAACTCACTCTATCGTCTGATCTGTTGTTTTTTAGGGGATGAGTATCTCTGTGCTCGGCCCCACATTTGAGGACCTGGCTGTTAATGTGAAGAAGAACATCAGCAACATTTCTTACATCTTCGTCGGTCGCTCTGCGGGCTACATCGGTGGTTCGCTCGTAGGAGGGATTCTCTTCGACTGCATGAACCCCCACCTCCTGCTCGGTAACCCTGCACCACATGCAGCTGTTGTAGAAGTTGGAGTGTAGCTGCAAATGGTTGATTTTCAGTTCAGAACTTTACTGGCTCTGTTTCGGGACAAAGATGTCAGATTTTCAGGCTGTGGTTGGATGATGTAATAATAAAAGGGGAGCTAAGATGGATTGTCTTTTGTTGTTGTTGTTGTTGGGGGGGGGGGGGGTGGTGGTCCTGTGACAGCTGTTTCTTCTGATTCACCTATCCTACTAAAATAAAAAATGTTCTCTTTGATGATCTTATCTTCCAGGGTTTTCTATGCTGGTCACAGCGTTTGGAATGTGTGCTATCCCTTTCTGTAAGCAGGCTCTGCTCCTCACTGGACTCATGTCCAGCATCGGGATGTCTATGGGTGTTCTGGATACAGGTAAGACAGCACTTCATGAGCAAACAGTAGAAGGTCTGCCCTTCACGGTGTGAAAACAAAAAGCTAGTGGTTCAGTATTGAATAAAGATTAACCAATGCAGCCTTGCGGGCATTCATTTATTACTTCCGTTTGCATTAACATCTTACACACACACACACGGTACTTCATCAAAGGTGTTCTCACATATTTTGGCTGATTAGAGCTGTTTTGTTTAATTGATATATTCTGAACTTTCCTGATAGTTTCGTTGCACCTGTTAGAAAGCAGACAGTTGGACGTGTCTTAGCAGGAAAACCTCAGGTGTAAT